GGGAGAAAAGTCATGGACGTGGAGCGTGGGGGGTCCGGGGGAAAAGAGGAGGGCGCCTTAGCCCCCCGCGGTCCAGTGGTCCTGGGTAGCGAGGTGTGTGCGTGGTTGTTGGTGAAGTCCGTCCGTCGTACACTGACGACCCGACCCTCCCCACCTTTCCTCTGGGGGCAAAAAGCCAGTGGATCTGGACGTGCCTTTCCAAGAGTCATTTTTCAGTCCTAAACCCGGTTTTTCAAAAGTGCTGAACTTAAGATGGCTGTAGCGTGGGGACGTGCCCTGCGCTTCGATAACTTGGATACATTAACATGTTACAATTTTAGTTGCTTCTCGTCCAAGGCCATTAACCGAAACTCTCGGTCTTTGGGTTTTCTCGCAGTGGGTGCCTTTTATGTTTCCCTTGGTAGAATCCGTGCCAGGTGAAAACAAAGGTGAAGCTCACCAATAAGTTTGCCTCCTCCCAAAAGTTTACATAAGAATGGGTGTGGTTTTGGGTTTTGTTTTGTAGTTATAGTTCGGAAATTGTGCTGTGGTGTCACTTTTATCAGCCAGCTTTGTACTTCGAGGTTGCCCGGTCACATTTATTAATTTACTGGCCTTTAGCTTTGATTTTCGGCTCCCAAAACTCACGCTGGTGGAGTCGATTTCGACTCATAGCCACCGTACTGGCCCTATAGAATTTCGAAGGCTGTAAATTATACGGAAACGGACTTGCCCGAGCGGCGCCGCTGGTGGATTTGAACCGCTGACCTTGCGCACCCAAGTACTTTAACCATTTCGCCATCAGCGCCCTTTTTTCTGCTTACCAGGAACAAAACGGAGTTAATGGTGGTTGGTGTTTTAGTTTAGTACTAGAGGTGAGTCACGTTCTGGGTAAAGTAATTGAAAGTTTTCAATAAACTTAGGTTTGTAGTTTGGTGGATCATTGACTTTTCCAAAGGTCTTCTACACTTAATACTGGAAAGTGGATTGGTGTGCTGTCAAGCTTGAGGCATTTATTAGAATAGTTTAAGATACCTCAAGAAGTAAAAATAAACCATGGAGTACCTCCTTGTGCCCTTTCAAATAAAAGGTTGTGTTTTTTCCCCTTTTTCTTTATTTGGGCCAACAAACCAGTCGCGTAACTGAAAACAGAAAAAGCATTGAATGGAAACCAGAAACTGTTCATTTCAGTATTTGGAAAGAGGCTTGAGTTTCAGGTTGCAATAGGTCTAAAAGATAAAATAGTAGAATGCAATTGTGAATGAGAACTATTTGAAATCAATAGTAAAATAAATCCTTCCTAGGGAGTCAGTTTCAATTGACCGTACTGCATACTTTTAAACGCATACGTTTTATTTCTGCCCTAGGAATTTTTTTATCCTCATTTTATTGTGGTGTTTTAAAAGAACAACATAATTTCTAGAAATTACAGCTCGGTTGTTTTATGCTTTAGCATTGATGGGGTTTAATATGCTACCTGCAGAACCTATAACCTTGAATGAGACCTCACTCTAATTCTTAGTGCTCTCTCATGCTGAAATAACATTTCATCAATTCTGAATTACATCAGAAGCCTTTATGGTTTTCTATCAGTGAGCTATGTATAAAAAGTTTGGCTAATGACAACACATTTACTATTAAGTTTGGAACTACTTGCATATCCTAGATTTTGTGGATTCAGTTGCAGACCACTGAAATAATAGTTGAGTCGCACGAAATTTTTGGCTTCCCACTGCACATAAAAGTTACATTTGGAAGGGCTGGAGGGAAGAAAGGGGAACTGATTACTAGGTTGGATATATAAGCCCCTTCCTCCCCAGGGGATGAATAATAGAAATGTGGATGAAAGGACACAATGGACTGTGTGAGATGCCAAATAACAATAATAATATATAATTGATCAAGGGTGAGGGAGGGAGGGGAAAAAAGAGAAGCTGATACTAAGGGCTCAAGTAGAAAGGAAATGTTTTGGAAATGATGGCAACATATGTACAAGTGTGCTTAATACAATTGAATTATGGATTGTTATAAAATCTATGAACCACCCAATAAAATGGTTAATTAAAAAAATCGATAGTATTTAAAATAAAAATGTACAAGGAGTTGCCAGAATTTACATCTTAATAATAAAAAGGATTTTTCTTAGTTGTATAATACCCTAATAATAAATGATCTCCTACCTGTCATGATCAATAAAGTGATTTTTTTTTTAATGAAGTAGGGAAAAAAGTTAACATTTAAAAATAAATAAAAGCATGGGGGTAGGTTACATTTACACTCTAGGATATTAAGAATGAAATAGCATTATGAAAAAATTATAAATATTGTGAGAATTACCAAAATGTTACACAAGAGACAGCATATGCTGATGGAAAAATGGCACCTATAGACTTTCTCCATTGCCAAGTTGTCTCATACCTTCAATTTACAAAAAAATTCACTAGTCTGCAAAGCGAAATAAAGTGAAGCACTATAAAATGAGGTATATCTGTATTTTGAAAATAAGAATATTTTGAATGCACCAGCAGAGATAACAATTCTGAGTTATAGTTCAGCAAGCTTTCTATCTTTTATGACTAAATTGTATGAATTTGTAGCCAGGATAACTGTTACAAGGTAATTTATCATTTGCCAAGAACTGTTGTTGCTCTCAGCGATTTACATTATAGTTAAAAAAACAGCCCAAAGAGGTTAATTCAGACAAATTCCTCCAGCCAGAGTAAGGAAACCCAGGCAATTCATTGATAAGTAATCGCACTTAACCATTATGCCTCCTACCTTTGCATATGAAAATAGGCTTCATTGGAAAGATAAGAGGTACTAAAAATTTCAAATTCTCCCAGCAAACGGTGCTGGCTGTTCAGTGCCAGTGAGCATTCCTGTGCGTGAGAGAACACAGCACTGCCTTGACTTACATCACTGGCACCGATTGCCGTGTGCGAGCCATCTATCTGGTTGGGTTCTTTTGCTTTTTCATTTTTAACAGTTTTATTAGCACTTCATCCACAAGTCATAAAATTCACTAATTCGGTCATATCAAGAAGAGTTGTACGATTATCCCCCACATTCAATTCTAGAACATTTTCTTCTTCCTTGTACTCATTGTTAATGATGTCCTGTTTTAGGGACAGGTTCCACCTGATTGATAGTATGTCCAGAATCTAGGCCATCCTCTTTCCTAAAGAGCATTCTGGTTGTACTTGGAAATTTCCAAGACTGATTTGTTTGTTCTTCTGGAAATCCGGGTGCTTTTTCAGTCTTCTTTAGCAACACTGTCTTCCAATTAAATTGTTCTTGGAACTAAAGGAGTAGTTTATGGAAAAGGCAAAAATTGGTGTGCCTTTTTAGGATTTTTCGAATAGATGAAGGAAAACTCTAGGTGGCATAAAAGATAACATGTTACCTCAAGTGACTAAACCTACGCTTATCTGAAGTAATACATGGTGGTTCTACATAGTCACTTTTAATCAGACTGGTTTTTATCTCCCATTGAAGTTTGCAAGAAACAAAGTTGCCTCCAATAAAACATGAAAAGTTGAGTGAGAGGAACAAACCATCTTTTGTCCATTGATATATCTCATTCGCATATAATCCACTAAGCTAGGCAAGCACGAGCTTACTTGTGTATTCATAGTACTCTTAGTTATAGGGTCATTTGCCAATACTAACAAAGTAGTGTGATGGGAATTGAATCATTATAGATGATTCCCTTTCCATAGTTAACTGCAGATAAACTTCAAACGACCAAATTTGCTGCCATTGAGCAAATTACAACAACAACACCATTACAATGGAGTAGAATTGCCCCAGTGGGTATCTGAGGCTGTAAATACTTACAGGAGGAGAAAGCTTCATCATCTCTTGGAACAACTGTTGATTTCAAACTGCTGGCCTTGTGGTTAGCAGTCCAGTGTTTACCCCATTGTGCCACCAGGGTTCCTTTATGTGGCAATCAACCTTTAATTGTATTGGGAGCTAAATTTTTTCAGAATTCTTTTATTCATTTTAAGAAGCATATGCTGTGTGTAGTGCCAGTTACTGTATGCTGCCGCTGCTGCTGTGGCCACTGCCACTACTGCTGGCCTTCCAGGCAACTTCGACATGTAAGACCAAATCGAACTGTCCTATAGGGTTTCTTGGGCTATAATCTTAATGGGAACAGATAGCCCCATCTTTTCTGGTGAGTTCCAGCTGTCTACCTTTCAGTTAGCAGCTGAGCACCTAACCATTATGCCACCGACACTTGAAGTTCATAATACTCATTCCAGCCCAAGAGTACTATTATATTACCTTAAGTGCCGTATCGGTCTCTCTTGAAACTGCTGGTGGGTTTGAACCACCAACCTTGTAAGGTTAACAGCCCAACTCATGACCTATTCCACTAGAGCTCCTTTCAGCATACTAGAGGCTGGAAATAACTAAAACATACTCTGGCCATCAAAATACTACAGTCAGCAGTGCAG